TCGGTAGTAGAATAAGGATTATCATCGTTTTACTCAATAAATTCTCCACATTAACTGTAAAAAAAGATTTCGTTCATTATAATGGCTACCATTAATCCTATTCGATGCGAAATGGTTTCTAATTGAGTTTAGAGAACCGTAATTTTAACCATGAAGAAGGGTACACAAAAGTTCAAAGCAAATAACCATGGTGATAATCTATTTATTAAATATACAACTGAGTATTAGGGACTGAGTCCTGTTGCATATTACTGAATGTATCTTTAAAATTTTAATGACTGTAAGTCTTCAGTTTGTTTGGTGTGGGGGGGATCAAGAATGATTTGTATTTTGTACGTATTTGCACTTTTCACTTAAAATTTGGAATTACACCAGTATGTGACCCATTTTACTTCCGAGCAGCATGTAACCTGTCTGTATTTTCCAGCATTTCAAGGCTTAATTTTAGATTCACTAAAATTCGAAATCTCATTCAGGTCTACTATATTTACCTGCTTTCACAGAAGTCAGCGGACAAAAATAATCTCCAAATGTTTTATTCTACTCAGTTTAGTCGATAACGGACAAAATGTTTTAAAGAGCATCCAGATCAACTTTGAATATGATAATGGAGTCTCCCACGAGTGTATAAGATATCAAAGTGTTTGTAAATCTCTAGAAATGTACAATATTTTATGTTGATGAAGTTCTGTTCTCTGAGCTGGATGGCTTGGTCGTGGAGCTTTCATCGTTCTTCTGAACGACATCATCAGCACAAACTTCAGATAGAAGTGAAGTGTTCGAATTTCTCCATATGCGTCTCACAGTTTTTTTTGTACACCTCGATATTGATTGGTCCTTATTCACCTTAAATTTGTTTACTTCTTTGTTTTGGTTGAGCCTTCCATCGGTTTGATTTCCGTTCCTATGTTTGTGCATAATTTTCCTGATTGGTTGATAAATTGGATCAATTTCAATGTGCTTGTTGATTGCTGATTGACCTGAGTGTCAGGCTTCTAAAAATCCTCTGGTGTTTTTGGAATTCCCTCTGTCCAAGATTTCCACATTTTTCCAATCAAATGAGTGTCCGCAGTTGTCCACGTGTATTGATATAAGTGAGGAAGTATCACGGCGTTTGATTGCTAATTGATGTTCATGTAGGCGAAGATGAAGAGGGCGTCCTCTGTAGTGTTTTTCACAGTTGCACAATATATTTTGTAGATGATGTTTGATTTGTCTTCTTTTGTCATTTAATCCTTTGGTTTGCATAGGATTGATTGTAGTGATTTTATCGGTTTGTGTGCCACACCTATCCCGAAGGTTTCCAGCAGTCGTTGTGGTTTCTCATACGCCTTTTATGTACGGCAGGGCGATCCTTTTGTTGATTTCTGTGCTTGACTTGGGTTCTGATGCTGCGTGCGACTGGTATTTTTTTATGTTGATTGGGTAGCCATTCTTTTGGAATACATCTTTCAGGTATTTCTCTTCATTTTCTCGTGCCACCAGTGTATAGCTGGGAAAAACCACATGATTCTGAGAAATCAAAAATAACTCACGATTTCACAGAATAACATACAGTAGAAAGAAATCAGTCTGAAAGACTACTGCAGATATAAATTCAAGCTCAGTTAGAAGGCAAATACATACATGTCACTAATTGCTTAGTCTTCAGTAGACGAATACACTTTTTAATAAATTGGTAGATAAGCTGACCTAGTCGTTCTGTTACATAATACACGATGCTTAAAAATAAGACTCGAAACATATAAGATACAGAATTTCAGTACAACAATATCAAAGCGTATGCTACCGTAAATGTATTGATCAGAATATTTAAGCAACAAAATGACATTTTAGCTACGGAGATTATTTTATGACGATTTTATTCACTAAAGTTGTGGAGTCGTATTAATAATTATTCCTTGATATATGGTGGTTTACAACAGAAACAGAGGGCTGTTGCATCATTATCAGTACCAAAAAGCCAACTACGAGTCAAACTTACGTAAAGACTATACACTTGACAATTGTAAGGAAGATGTATTCGGAAATGGATGCATATCAAATCAATTTATAAAGTGAGATATCGGGATAATTGTCGCTTGAAATATGTGAGAAGATAATGGATAGGAAATGAACACGTGTGGTGGAATAACTAATAAGAGAGGTTGTTAGGACCATGGTGAACTGATAGACTGGATATTTCACTTCTGTAGATCAGGCTTGAGCTAACGGATCGCCAAAACTTCATCTATGAACAAGTTTTTCTCATTCGATTTTCCTTCGAATCACTTCACATTTGTAACCCTAGCTCTATCTTCAACAGCTACAAAAATCTGTACATGACACAACACGGGTATAATTAGACAATATCCGACAAAAACATGGAGTATTGGATTTTCCCAAAGATTCACTGACAGGAACTTGAAGTTAAAATACCTGTATGAAAGAACCCCTGAAGTACCAAGGATACTGTTCATTAACATTGATTTTGAAGCAAATACAGCCACAGCAATTTTATAAACCTCATTGTGTAAATCCCTGAAAATTTTTATCCAGCCGAGCTAAGAATTTTTCGAGGGCCAACCGCTGTTATCTCCTAAAATCGGCACACAAGTATCGAGAATTTACGTCATTTCACCAACCTACTTACAGCGCAAATTACCGAGGTTATCGGATAAGACAAATCTGGTGTCACGAAAAACCTCATGCATCGATACAAAGCCTATAAATTGATGTAAGGAAAATCTCAAACATAATCAACTACCTGCTACTTGAAAAACCCTTCATCTAATAAGTGAATTGAGAACCAGTTGTATTGTTCTCACCGAGATAACCGATGTCTTTATATTAATATAATAGTCACACTACTATACAGAAATGAGCAAATAAAATATTATCGGGTAACGGTATGATTACTTATCCGTCATTAGAAACGGCTACTTTTCCTACACACGTACATAGTGAATGACCACGCTGAGCAGTTAGTAAGGAAACACAAAGATGTAGTCACACATCTTCCTGAATGATTATTTCGGAATGTCGTTGACATCAGTTAGATATACTCCAATAACGCTTTGCGTCATAACAAATCAATCACAGATTAACGCAATTTAGAACAAACGGAAAGTTTCCTTAGCAGTCAAGTGAATAGTAGAAGTCAGATTTGACCGATCAGATAGATATTCTGAATACTCAAAGCCACAATTCGTCAGTAAACAGTCCAGTTCACGATCACTTATTTGGGCTGCTTCGTTTTTATATACGGTCTTCGCCTTATCTGTAACTAACTTAGAATGATTCTAACGAAAATTCAAAGCTTTTGGGTGCTCTCCGTTTTGTCTAGATCTCAAGTACCCATAAACTACTAGTAACAGTATTCAATTCCGAGAATCATCGAAACCGTTATTACTGATAAAGACTCAGATAATTACAGTTAAACAATCAACAAAGAGCACGCGTCAGATGTCCCTTGGCCCAAATCATGTGTTCATGTAGATGGAGATAACCCAGCAGTAACTACAATGAAAAAGACTAAGTATTGAGAAAATTGTTTAAAAACATAGGACGGATAGGCATGTACGAACCGACACTAGAATTCAAGATGAATGGTAAGTGCATCTGCAACACTGTGAACGACTCGCTCATATCTCCCAGTCTCTAACCTCTGACCTATCGGACTTCTATTAGGCAATCAGCTCCACCAACACCGCTCAACCCATCGGTCACTGACTTAGAAAACTGATAGATAGTCATAGTTCGACCGCCCCTAGCATCACTTCAACTAGCACGCCTCAGCAGACAATGGTTAGACAAACATAGCACACCGCAATGGACACGATTAATTAAGATCCACATCCTCATTAACCGATTTGGTAGCTGTCTCAACTTCTGTCAAACTACCTAATAACCAATGTTTGGATCATGTATAGGATACCAGCCAAAAGTAGTAATCCACTTGGTCGGGATATAAATACACTTGCTCAATCACATAAACTTAAGCAGTGTGTTCAATGCCAAAGACCTCATTTGAAGCAATCCAGTAAATGTATCGTTACTCGAGCTTCCATATAAATATTGATCATACAAAATCGTGGCACGTGATCTTATGTCAAATAGCACCAATTTTGGTTGGGCAGGTTCAGGATAAGATCCCGAGCTGTATCATAACGGTTCCTACAGTTACATGTTCGCCTGAATAATTTTATTTATCCCACACACGTTATGTATACTGCAGAAAGCACAAAAACCCTTCGGAAGTCACCAGACTGAACAGTACCATTATTTCTACTAGGTAAGAGAGGGGAGCTACCAGTCTAATGAGACAAGTGAATCGCTTACACCAGCAGCTTCGTTAGTTTACATGTTGTTCAGTCAGCAAACCATTGTTGATATGCATCTAAATGACTAGCTTTTTTCTCGGAATAGCATACGTAAAACGAGAGGGTAGAAATTGTCTATTCCTATAACGACAATTTACAGCATAGGAGTAACAAACAGTGCAACTCTACTTTTTAGAAGTCAATGTGCAGAGCATAATGACAAAGGTATATCTTGACCAGATATAAATGAAATAATAAAGCAAACTAATTGTTACTACCAATCTTAGACGCCCGTAAAAAGCAAAGCTACAGATTGCAGGAATAATAATGACAGAACGTCTGCCATCTACCAATTTAACAGACCGAAATGTGGCAGCTGTGTGGAAAACCCTGAAAGAAATGTTCACATTGACTAGAATTCTTTGGATTTTGAAGACTGCCCAATTCGACGTTGTAAATGTGTAGGCAAGATTCTCGGATAATAACCAAATTATGGGGATTACCTTTGTTATTATACTGTCTTATTATTAGAACAAAGGGATTATCATTGACGACAACCAACAGACAAATCGTAACTCAATGACAACCTGCTTGTTAGCCGGATTTATACTATACATTTGAGTTTTCCGTAGCAATAAGCTAATTCTTAGGGGGACATGAAAGCTGTTTACCCATGTTAAGAAAAATGAGAGTTGTGTTCCGGCACTTATACATTTATTACATACAACGATTAGTTCTCCTCTTCATCGTCTGTATCTTCATTTTCGAAGTTAAAGAACCGAAATTCATAAGAATCCTTTGATTTCGCTACCACGCGAAGGAAATCTCGCAGTTTGTGACGTTTGAGAAATTTCTTTGTCAAATACTTAAGATACCTGAAGATATAAATTATCAAGTCTCACAACTCACCTTTTCGAAAAAGGGATGTTTGCGGTGACATGTATGGTTGATTTGTCACGTTCAATGTGAACATCTTTCCCAAGATTATTAAGCTTATTATCTACTTTTATGTGTTCCTTTAAATATTTTTCCTGAAAGATTGAAATTCACATAAGTCATATTGACATACAAGTAAACTAGGGCTAACTATATCTTCATCAATAACTCCGGGTGAAATGCATATACTGAACTTCAGGACTTGCTTTTTCTTTGAGGCTGGTTTATGCGTCTTCGGTTTGGGAACGGACTATAGAATATAAATAAAATAACACACAGTACTTTTGCAACCATGCTGAAACCTGCAATAGCCCGCCGTAGTGAAAGAAACTGCTCGGCCGCCAAAACAGTACAAACTGAAGTAACCAAACTTCAAACTTCAGTTTTCAGGTTCTTGTTTTAATGTCGAGTTAGGGATGAAATTCGAAAATCCTTTGCTAGTAAGATAAGTTAGGCGTCTCTGTTTTACTCCTGAAGTCTCAAAAAGCACTATGTGTAGAGCTACTCAATTTTTTCGGGCGCGCATTGAAAGTTGATTTATCTACTTTTACAAAATGTCTAACTCACATGTTAATCAAGGACTTACAGCCTGAACATATCTTTCCAGCTTATATCTCATTCTGGTCGTTTATTCTGCAGTGAACGTGTTCGATTACAAGTTGGTAATTATTTATCCTTGAAATTTTAGCCGCAGCAGCACAAAAGTGAACATTTTTCCTATGGTTAGGACTCATTTTTACATAAAATGTCATTGTGAGATGGTATCAAGGGCTCTGACGAGTCATCTGACTATTTGCGTTTGCATGTCTGATGTAAATGTTGACAAATGTTGCTCCATGATGGCGGCCTGCTTGAGCATCTGGGCTACCTGTTCCTGCCATCTAGATATTTCAACAAGTTATCTATTGTTGTTTGTTTTAATATATCATTATGTTTATTAATCGCATAACCTATTCTGCTGCGTTTCTGAAAAGTGTACAACCTTTCGTTGTCAAAGTTACAGAAAACTCAGTAAGAGACAATATGGTTGCTGGCAATATACAACGAAAAGAATGTACATTATTCAGTTGTTCATTCACTGAAGTGCTAACATTTAACTGGCGATCCTTCAATATTTATCGCCAGGACCGACCAAGAAGAAAGAAACGGAAACTTGCTGAGAATTCTATATTGTACCAAAATTATAATATTGAATATAGCTAATAATAATAATAATAATAACAATAATAATAATAATAATTGATTGTAATTAGGGGAACACACAATAGCGTGTACGTCTACCTAGAGTGCATGTACATCTGCATTCATATTTGAGCGTAATCAACATCATAATCACACAACCTATGAAGTGCGAGGAACCTAGAAAAGTGACTGAATGCAATTCACTGAATTTGTATTTTACTCTTGGTGAGGGCGATAACTTCAATCCGCCCGTGTTTGTGGGGACAGAACATTTTGTATGTATCAGGCTCCTCATGATTGAGAATAAGTCAATCAATCTGTGATATAGATTGTCTTCCTACGCTCACCACTAAGACTTATGTTTCAAATATTTTGCTGGATTAGCTATTCTGCTAAGACAACCTATAACATGCTAACTCGGACTTCTACACTAGGATTGTGTGCCTGGCATCGGACAAACAAAAAAAGGAAAAAAAGTAAGACAACAAAAGATATAGTCATTAGTATTCTTAACACTTCACCCTCTATATACACACCCTTCTAATAAACCGCTTCCCTTTACCAACCTTGACTTCCCTTCCTTCATGTGAGCTTACTCCAACTTGTTAAACATCACAACTCATTTTTCTTTATTAGTACATTCTCTAATATGGAGCCTCTGACTTCATTTCACTCTAACAAGACATAATATGAATTTATTCTAATTTATTACACCTCTGTCCGTTCTACTACACAATCTTAAGCAACGTTTGGTGTTCATATCCAAGTGCCTTGCTGCTCTTTTGTTTCTCTTTTTTTCTCCTTCAGAATCTTGCTCTGAGAGCACAGCTATGAAACTTCTGATGTTTGGAACAAACTTGACGTACGCGTCCTCTCAATGTCATAGTTTACAGCAAGCGCTCTACGACTTCACTTTATAACAACTATAAACATAATAAGTTGGAAAACATTTTGCGAACCAACAAATGTTGTAATTTACAGATCATGCCTGTAAAAACGGTGTGTACCTGCACATGCAGAAATATATTATTATTATTATTTTGTCAGACGCCTGAAGTAAAGTGTGTAATACGCTTTAGCAGAGGCCCGGAAACTATAGTATTTTAGAGCTTCATCGGGAGTTCATCATGATGCATAAAGCCAAAGGCTTTACTGAAATCAATGTGGATAGTATCTGATGGTTCTCCGTGGATGGATTTTGATTTTTTGCTGTAGTTACATCCGACTTGTTGTGATTGATGTCTCTATATTTATTGATAAATCTATATGGATGACAGTTTTTTCATAGAAACTTTGTAATGTTCATAACTTTATCCTCTACTATGTAAAATAGTGTTTCGTACAATGTTTTGTTGTAACTGATTGGCTGAAATTTACTAAACGTTCGGAATGAACAGTGTAGGTATGCAAGCACACAAAATGTGTGACAAGGAAGAAGTTTCTAATTACCTATCAGTTTCCTTACACACTGCAATAGCGAAGAAAACGAAAATTCAGCAAAAAATATACTCGATAAAATGTGCCCCAATGACTCTCTTGTGACTGTATGAAAGCAATGAATTTTCCAGGCAAATCGTGTTGTTAAACATTCGGATACTTAGGGAAAAATGACTTTCCGTTGCTTTACGGTACCCCTGTTTTTACAGTAGTCAGCAGAGCTAACCATCAAACTCGTTGCCTGAATCTAAAGTCAACGAGTAACTGTAGGCGATTAATCAGGACTGCCCGATGCAGAAATCACCGGCCACCGACATTTAGTACACGTGACTCGATCGTCCAATGGCATCAAAATAGCATTACTCTGGTGTACGGAAGTAAAACTGAGATATCAAACTGTATTACACCATTCAGAATCCTCTTCGTACTAATAAATCACTAAGGTGTGAAATGTTCAATTTTTAAAAATTTACGTGTTTATTCACGCTTTGTTCAGCATAATGGTTTTACAATTTTTGCCTTGATGGATTTGGACAACAGCATCACCAGATAATAACTGCCAAATATTTCACAAACGCTTGAGTAAAGGGTAAATCGTTCTAGTATTTGACCAATACAACATTCACGATCTTTAGTAAATATCCCGTCGTGAAAGTCTAGAAATTCCAGTCATATATGAACTACAGGAAAATCTTTTTGAAACTGAGTTCACAGGTAATTAATAAACCCCACTGGACACTGAAATCGAAGTTATTATTTTTACAGGGTTTCTAAACTGAAATCGAATGGTCAGGAATCATGGCCTTATTTAGGCACGGCACATGTGGAACTTTTCTGCTCCTTCCGGATAAAATCTTATTAGCTTCACACTCATCTATCTCAGTATAAGTCCGAATATCGTGTTCCCTCATGGCTATCTTAGTCCTATGCTTTATTTGCACTTTATATTGTATTTAAAATTTATTGATAACAACATCATTTAAGTACTTCGTAAAAATAACACCAACGGCAAGCTGATTATTCAATAGTCTGAACCCAATTGTGGCTACGTCTCAACACTTCGTAATGAAGTTTTCAAATCCAGCTCCTCACTACCCTATCAACGACATTCCCGAAATAATGTAAGTCTTTCTCAAACGATACAAGAGTGATCTCCACCCAAGAAAAAGGTCTAATACATATAATTCGTTTTTCTAGCTGCATCATAATTTGTAGCTTTTCTTGTTTACATCTACCACTGTGCTCAATGTTCTGGCATCCCATTTTCAGTCCTATTCTTACATGTGCGTTTTCCACGAATTATTTAAACAAGTCGTCAGTATATAACCATCTAAAGAGTTCGTCTTAGTCGTTGGTAACTTTTATTAAAAATACTTAGAGAAGGTGTGCTAACAATGTATATATATATGTTACAATAACGATCAATCAGTCGGAGTTTATGCGGTGTAAAAAGACTTGTGCCGTAGAAAGTGAGCATCGCGGAGTATTCGAACGTCATTAGTTGCTTGTACTTGATCGAGAGCCTTTACCTAGTGAATGAACGATGCAAAACTCGAAAACTGACAAAATATTTGATTTGAAAATTTACTTACCACAAAGTCCTTCAATACGTATGTTTATGTATTAATTCACTTGGCACCTCTTTTTTAGTTCAGTAGGTACGGTAATTCCCAGAGATCCGTTATTTTTTCACAAAAACGTGAAATACTGGTGAACAAATAATTTTCTATGTAATTAGTCAAAGAGAAACAAAGAGAAACGTGATAAGCAGAAGTATTGGAATTATCATGCAATCTAGAACTACCAGAAATAACGCAGCTAAGACCATATAGAACTTGGTGAGAACAAACGAACGTATAGTATTTGGAATACGAAATCGGGCAGTCATCCAGTACAAAGGAATAATAAATACATACGAACACTACAACCGACAGTTTATAAATTGGTATCTAGGTTTCTGTAAACAATTGTGTGTCTTCTCCTAAGGCTCATTATAGGCCTGTCAGATTTTGCATTGGATACCAACTCTATGTAATCTAGAATACATTCATTAGTATTAGAAATAAAAACTGAAATCGGAACGGAATCACCTGAGTTCTGGAATTGTATACAATCACCATGTTGGTTGTATACTGAGATCTCTGATATCTAGAATTTGAAACACGAATTTCTAGACACCATCCATCACACAAAATAATGTTGGATCTTCACATCCATACTTCTCATATTGATCAGAGGATTCACTAGAAAAGACTTCATTCTAAGTATAAAGAACATTTCATAAGAAATCATCCGAATCTTATTCAAAATCGAGCTCATTTAGGACTCATGTTTCGTAATGAACCAGTTTCCTACAAAACAGATGCATTATAAGCTCAACTAATATTTGAAAGAGATCAGAATTTGATTTTTCCGAAATATTTTCCCAAAATGTATCAGGAATATCACTGAAGACTAATGAATCAATATAAAAATCAGCATCTATCAAAAGTGCATCAGGTTTTCTATCAGGACTTGATTCACTCAACATATCTTCCTCAGATTTGTAAGTAATTTCGTCAGAAATATATGAATCTTTAGGACAAACCATATTTAGCACAGTAACATTAGAAATCTGATAAGAAGCTGATTGATTAAAAACTTTGGTCTCACAATGATTCTGAGTTTCATTTGACTCTGGTCTGCTATTTGACTCTATACCGCTTTCCGAAGTCGTGGATAAGGATAAATGGTAATCAGAAACACCCAACTTAATAGAATCACAATTACGAATGTTAGTATTAGTTGCAGCAAAATGAGCAGTAGTATCAGAAACTAACTGAACCTGCCTAATCTCATCGCATTTGAGGCATTTAGAATTACGGAATACACATGAATTACATGGGTGGAACTTGCCACAGAACAA